ATACAACATTTGGCCTAAAGGGTCAAATTTCACAGCTTAGGGCCTTAATGCCTTGAAATAAAATTTTGCCTTTGAATTAAAACAGATTTCTCACTTCTGAAGTACAAAAATTTGCTTCAAAATATCACAGATGATCTTCAGCATTACTAACTTTATACTTTGGATATTAACTCAATGGAAACAAAAATTATTGTAAATAGAAATTTTAAACATATCTATATTAAGTTGCAGTGTAATATTTTAAAAATTTATAAATTACATGTAATGAATATAAATTAGAATTCCAAGAAAAATATTTAATTAGCATCTTCCGTTTTACTATAATTAAAAAATAAAAAATAATAATAAAAATTGCAACAAATTAACGAGAATTATATACCCATGAAAATGAAATTCAATACTAAGAAATAAAGATGATATCATTACAAGTGTAAATATAAATTTTTGATTATTCATTATTGTTATAAGTTGACAATTTAATATATATAATAATGAAATATTTTTACAAACTCATCTCCTGTAAAGGTTTTAATTTATCACATTAAATATACAATGAAGCCTCTAACATTATTATATTTCAATGAAGTTAAAAGCATAGTCGAAAACATAGATTCACACGAATATTATCATATTTTTTCCAGATGTAAATTAGATTAGAATTCTCCAAAAATAATAAAATAGCAAAAAATTCTATATAGGAAATTACCGCGAAATTTGAAATATTACACAGTTTTATAACATTGTATAAAAAAATATAGTTATTTCACTTATATTACATAAATAAGTGTAATGTGATATGTATCATAGCATCACAATTCTAATTCTAAGGTCAAAAAGTTTTAGATATTAACAATATCTCCGGAAAAAAAAAAATTATTAGTGTTATCTATAACTACGTAATCTCAAATAAAGCATTACTGTACAAATTCATTTGAAATATAACGAAAATATTTGTCGAAATGATTTAATTTCCGTTGTAACGAAGTTCGTTATTATTTTAATTAAGTTATAAGATTAATGTCTTTAATAAGAATTATATACTTAATTATAATAAATACAGTATATGCTATCTATACGCTTATATTTTACGCGTAATTTAAAACTCAATCATCTTTTTCATTAAAGATATATTTGCATATAATCAAATATTTATAGGCCTATATGGTAGAAGCTACTTATTGTGATTATGGTAATTATTATCAGTCTTTTAATGTTATCAAAATTTGCATGACCCAAAACACAATTTACAATCTAAGATCATTAAGTTTATATAAATTTGTTGAAATTCACATTAAAAATTTTAAATGCTTGATTAATAAACGACTTTAAAAAATATATATAGAAGGTAAATTAGACTGGATGAATTACAATTACAATTAGCCTAATAAATCTTCAAAAGTTTAGAACAATTTATTAAAAATTTACTATAAAATCCTATTAGTTACAGTTTTAGTAAATAAAAACAGAATTTCTACTAATTATAAGCTAATTTACCTAATTTACTTAATTAATATTATCCATTCATTAATTAGGTATATTTTATAGGTAAGTCCAAATGGTTATAAAGTAATATCTACTGTATTTCATTATATAGTAATGTGTTTTCATTTTCACGTGCTCTGTCACGTGACAGAATATGGGCGGAACTACTTAAAAACCTATTTGGGATTTCAAAAGTTGCGATTCCGCAGGGTCCACAATGAGAAAGTCCGGATAATGAGGGACGAGGGTCAACGGACAAACACAGTTTATCGAGACAGACCACCCACGAAAAATTTTTGAGAACTCTGACCTAGACTCAAAAGCAGGTCCTCCAGAGCAACGGGCTAATGTCTTTATCACTGGCCATCTTTTTAAAAGTGAAAATTTTTTAAATTTTAATTCATAACTTTAAAGTATAATTTGATTGGATTATTCTGTGCTTTTTCACATTCGTTTCTATATATTCATCTGTACATTTATATAAACAAACAATAAGAAAAAGCTTCGAAATTCTCTGCGAATATGATACTCAAAATAAATGTGTGATAGATAAGAAATGAAAAAAATATCGATTAAGGACAGGTAATAGTATAACTTTAATAATAATTTTCACATAACTTCATAATAGAAGAAATAAATTATTTCTAGAAAAAATAGAGATTACAATTTTTGCAAAAAATGTTTTCAAAAGTTTAGCAAGTGTCATAGAATTGAACTTGAATGAAAGAAATCTGCTGAGTATCTATTATAGACCAGAGGCAGTAGCAGGATTTATGTTCTTTTGAGGCCCTAGGCACAATTTTGTTACAAGGCAGTTTATGTAAAAGTTTTTTAATATTAAAAACACAATAAAATCCTTAAACAATAAAAAGTTTTTAAAAGCTTTTTAAACATTCACTAAATTTTTAGAGGCATATTATCTTTTTGTAAGTAATTTTCGAGGTCCTCGAGACGAAAGGCACTAGGCGCATTCTTAGTGCGCCTATTGGATAATACGCCACTCACACAGGGAGTCGTGCTTCGATGCTTTAAGGCATGTATAGTCTTTTGTAGCGTCTAATGAAGCCTTATAAAATAGAAAATAGTATAAGAAAGATAAGTTTTTGAGCACTTATTTTATTCACTTTTCAGATAAATTAACTAAAAAACCAGCGTACTAACAAGTAGTTATAATAATTTTACTTTATTATTAATTATAAAACCCATTGTTAATGTATTCTAAACGTATGCATTATACTTCTACAACCTGTAATACAACATTTGGCCTAAAGGGTCAAATTTCACAGCTTAGGGCCTTAATGCCTTGAAATAAAATTTTGCCTTTGAATTAAAACAGATTTCTCACTTCTGAAGTACAAAAATTTGCTTCAAAATATCACAGATGATCTTCAGCATTACTAACTTTATACTTTGGATATTAACTCAATGGAAACAAAAATTATTGTAAATAGAAATTTTAAACATATCTATATTAAGTTGCAGTGTAATATTTTAAAAATTTATAAATTACATGTAATGAATATAAATTAGAATTCCAAGAAAAATATTTAATTAGCATCTTCCGTTTTACTATAATTAAAAAATAAAAAATAATAATAAAAATTGCAACAAATTAACGAGAATTATATACCCATGAAAATGAAATTCAATACTAAGAAATAAAGATGATATCATTACAAGTGTAAATATAAATTTTTGATTATTCATTATTGTTATAAGTTGACAATTTAATATATATAATAATGAAATATTTTTACAAACTCATCTCCTGTAAAGGTTTTAATTTATCACATTAAATATACAATGAAGCCTCTAACATTATTATATTTCAATGAAGTTAAAAGCATAGTCGAAAACATAGATTCACACGAATATTATCATATTTTTTCCAGATGTAAATTAGATTAGAATTCTCCAAAAATAATAAAATAGCAAAAAATTCTATATAGGAAATTACCGCGAAATTTGAAATATTACACAGTTTTATAACATTGTATAAAAAAATATAGTTATTTCACTTATATTACATAAATAAGTGTAATGTGATATGTATCATAGCATCACAATTCTAATTCTAAGGTCAAAAAGTTTTAGATATTAACAATATCTCCGGAAAAAAAAAAATTATTAGTGTTATCTATAACTACGTAATCTCAAATAAAGCATTACTGTACAAATTCATTTGAAATATAGCGAAAATATTTGTCGAAATGATTTAATTTCCGTTGTAACGAAGTTCTGTAACGATAACATTCGCTTTAATCGTTCGATAATCGTGAAATATTCATTTTTTAAAATAATTAATAGATAAAAAATTAAATTTTAAATGATTATCTAAAATTGTTCTAGATATCAACATAACATTTTCTTTTAACAACATCAGATTAATATAAAGGAAACCTTATTCGCTCTTTCGACCTTAATTAAAGTTTGAAAACAATTTATAAGCAAAATCTTGGATTGATTCCATTAAACGCGTTTTTTTTTTTCATTTTAAAATGGCAAAAGTTAAAAATTTTCTTAAAATATGGTTTGAAAGCGTAAAGGTCGCTCCTACATTGGCTCCGTTTCACCTTACACGTGGGTGCTATATTAATCTTAAATGCATTTAAAATAAGATGTAGAATAAAAAATATTATTTAAGTATAATAATAATATGAATGCAAAGTAATAGAATCAGTAACGGAGATTTTTTTAAAATTAAAATACATCTTTTATATATATAAATACATATAAAATATATATTGTATATTGATTTTCTTCAGTAGTTGATACTCGCCAACAGAGGGCATTATTTTGATGTCTATTGAAAACTTTGTGATCTGTGAAGCGAAGTATCGAAAATAACAGAAATAAAATGAATACAGATAACGAGTAATTTAATTATTTATTATCGTAAAACGTTTTTACATAATTATAATATAGGTAAGATATTTAAATATGTTATAATTTAAATTAGTAGTAATTTTAACTATTTAATTGCTTTTTAATGTCATAAATATGTTTAAATGTTGTAATAATTCATTTTAATTAATATAAAATAATAATATTAATTCTATACGAGTTATAAAATATTTTAATGCTTTATGAACGTGTCCGCTGACGAATTTTATTTTCGTAAAAAAAAAGAAAAAAAAATCATTAAAAATTCGAAAATATAATATATTTTTTCGTATTTATTTAAAATACTTTATATTATTTTAGCAATATTTAAACATACTTTTTTACTTTTTAATAACTTTTTAATAATATGTGTCGGAATACAATGTTGCTTATTGATTTTTAAAATATAATTTAAAACGAAAATAACTTTTTAAATTGTATGAAAATACAACAACAATAATAATAATAACAAAGAATAAATAAAAAAAAATTATTTGAATAAATTTTAAAAAGTCCGGAAAATAAATTTCCTTTAATTATATATTTACTTTGACTTGTTCTGTTTCCGTTTCCTGTTAAAATTTAATATTTTGCAACGAAAGTTAATAAATAAATAAATGTGTAAAATTATTTTATACGAAAAAATGAAACTTGTTGATCGAGTTTAATGCGAATTTTATTTTATTTTATTTTTTCTCATGCCGTATAATTTGCATGAAATAAATATTCATTACAAATATAGAAAAGTTCTCATTCGTTCGACTGTTGAATATAGCCTTTAGTCATGTAATCATTTGTCCAAGTTTTATTTGATTATTTCGGTAAGTTATGGCTTTTAAATATCCGAAATTATTTTAAATTGTTAATCTCGAACCAGAAAACAAATATGGCGTTTAATGTAAAACTCTATACATTTATAAAAATACAAAAAATATATAATATAATATAATATTTCATAATATAATTTTAGACTGAAATTTCGTTTTGAAATAATTGCTAATATTTACATTGTCGATGATACAATTTCTTATCACACGTGGTCATGTTTTTGATCGATCGATTTATGATCTTGATCGATCTTTGAATGCTTTGATTGAAACGAATAAATAACATTTTGCTAATTCAAAATAAATGAATTATTATGTAATGTAGTTTATATAAATGGTAATTCGAGATAAAGGGTCTGTTATAAGAATATGAACTAGATTTTTAAAATAATTATAAAAAATTATGTATAAAATATAAAATATATGTAGAAATGTATTTATGAGATCAATTAGTATGAGTGAGTAGCATGAGACTAACTAGTATGAATTTTACTGATAACTCTTGTATGCATACTTTGAAACTCTTGTGCTCCCATTTAGCTTTGCCTGAATTAGATGTCTACCATTTGTATATGTAAATAAATATATTTCATTTGATCAAATATAACCTTACATTTCAGTTCTGTAGATCAATCTTGGTATAACTGTTACATTTTTTCAAACTAAAGTAAATGCAATATCAGATATAGAATTATATCATTACTTATACATAGCAGGTGATTGCACATGGATTATAAATGGCAACATACCCATATTTTCAAGTTATGGGAAGTGAATAGCAACTAAGTCTTGGTACTTGACTTAAAGATCACTTAGAAAACACATGTATGTTCCACAATTGACTTGATTGAGAATTAGAAACATATTGAGCATGGATTTTTAAAAAATGGGAATGCAAAGAAAAATTATAAGATAAAATACAAGTGCGTCGACTGCAATAAGTTTGTCTCAAGCATAACAGTTGTGCACAGTGAATACTCAAGCAGAACCTGAAAACTTCATTCTTATTTTATTACTTATTTTTTTTGTAGCTTTTGAAACTTATTCTATAAATGACTTGTGTTTACAACTGTTAATTTATTTAGAATAAATAGAGAAAAAAATTTATTCACTTTTACATGTAAAATAAAACTGCAATATGGGGCTGTCCATAAATGATGTTCACACTGGGAGTGAAGGGTTTATGACAAGTCTGACAAAATTGGAAAGGGAAGGGGATGTTTGAACTTCAATGGACCCATTTTATTTCATAAAATTTTATATAGTGTATGCATTTTATTATTCATAAAGTGATACAAGTTTTAAGGGGGATTAAATTTTCTTGGACATTTGAAGAGGGGAGGGGTTACGGAAACTTGGACAGACTGAGATAACGGGAGAGGGGACTAAAAATTTTAAGAAGAATGCGGAAGTAATTGTAATGTGGGAGTAATGGTAAAATATCATGGAGTTAAGCTTTTCAATATTTACAAACATTAGATATTAGACAATAATGTATTAGCATTTTAAAAATAAGATAGATAGTGATAATAAGATAAATAGTAATGATCTGTTATTCAGTAAATTTTATAGATATTATATAAACTCAAAAAATTAATTGTAAATTGCTTGAAATATGGATTAATTCATATCCTTAAATGACTTGTCAATTTAATAAATTGAAGTCACATTTAAATAAATGAAACGAATATGCTTTAATTATCTCAAATAAACTGATTGAAAAAGGATGATCACATGATAATTGATAAAGATATGTGATAAATCAAAATTGTTTGATACGTTACGTGCCAGATGATATTTCCTAACGTTCCACTTTGGGCACTTTGGTAACGTTCCACCCTTAATTTATAATTTTCAAATACATGAGAACTGAGAAATTACTAAATAATTTTGCTAATCGCTTTTTGAACTACAGTACATTACAGTATAATTTCNTTTTTAAATAAAATTTAGGAAATATATATATATATATATCCTAAACTTCTTGAAGTGACTAATCATGTTTTGTTTTAAAGACAAGCAATAATGTAATAATTTTCATATTTTTCAAATAATGGGTCAGTTGACTCTAGACAATAAAGAGTAGCTAGAAACAAAAGAATAAGACAGAGAAAAATTCTAGAAATAACTACGAACAATAACTATAAATGGGTCATTCTAAGTTAAGAGGTACTCGCTGGTTAAGAGAGGTGGTACGACATAAATGTTAGAAATTTAATCTAATTATGTAACATTTTTATTGAAACAACTAATTTCTGCATATCTGCAAGGTGGCCAGTTAATTTATTTATTTTATCTTGTCTTATAAGAGACCAGGGGAGATACTCAATACAGGGGGGAGACTAGATATACAGGGTAGGATACTTTATGAACAGGTGAGGGGTTTTAATGTTGCTTTATGAAAGAAAACAGACTTTTTTTTAAGAATCAACTTTATTTATTCATTTTGAGTTGAGAGACTTGAAAAATTTTCTTTTAGTTGTTGAGATACAACTTCACTATACAGCAGCTTTTTCTTTATTGTTTCTGTATCATTTGCAGTTAGTGAATCTACTAGTACATTCGCTTTGGTGTTTGGCATGTGTGCTGGAGATTTTTTGTTATTCGTTGTAGGTGTTTTTTGTAACGTTGCACTTTAGTCTTAAGTTTAGCTATTTCAGCCGCCTGTGTTTTGATCATCAAGTTTCTTGCCTTCCTTGCACAAATAGACTTCTGCTGTTGTGCTGCTCACACTCACCTGTTAATATCTTCATTCTGAGAAGGTTGTAGTAGCAGCGGGTCTTCATTATCCGAACTAGGAAGGGTTATAGAGGCATTACTTATGACTCAAAGTGCTAAACAATGTCTATGATTCTTCGCTTTTTCTCTCCACAATTTTCTAGCTTTTTGCTATTCTCGGAGGGTCATTTGGTTCACAGTCTTAACAATTCCTTTTTCTTTCTTGTTAAGTATCAAGTATCAAAAGAATTCCTTTTTCTTTCTTCTTTTGATACTTTTCATATTCTTTAACTTTTTGTTGTGCATATTTGTCGGGGTCATTTTTTATGCATTGGTACCTTAATCTTTCCGCTACACGTTTTTTTTCTAGGCATTCTTCATGTGTCATTTTTTTTTCTTGCTACATATTCTGTAAAAAACATATTACAACAGTACCTCAGGATACAAACGCTTCAGCATACGAAATTTTCAGGATACAACATGAAATTCGAATATATTTTTGCTCCACAGTACGAACAAAAACTCACCATACGACGTTACATTAGTTTGCAGCACCATTTTTTATTCACTTCTGTTCATCGGTCTCAGTTTGCGTGTTTGTTTTGTTGTGAAAGGATCTTGCTCGATAAAGGAAATCTTGAGGTATTATCAGAAAGTGACTGATTTTATTGAAAAGAAACATCCAAAAAGGTTCACACTGGCCATATTGCTGCTCAGTTTAATGAAATTTGCCTAAGTTATTTTAGAAACATTTTAAAAAGTAGGCAAAGCCAAACCTCTGTGGATAGGTATTTTACCAAGTGACCTCTAGTGAAAATGCTGGTGGAAGTGAAGGAAAGAAAGCAAAAAGCAGTGAATAAAAAATTTTAAAAAATATATAAAACAGAAAAGATAAAAATAATTTAACACTATTTTTTTTAAGTTATTGTTACATTATGTTATGTAAGTTAAGTTTTAGTATCATTTCCCTTTTCCCCTCTCTTCTGCCACCAGTTTACACCTCCACCGTCGTCTATCCTCATAGGTAAAGTGCAAATAAAACTACATTTTTTATCAATTATTATTCTATTATGGTTATTTATACATTTACAAACTACAAAATGCATTTTTCAGTGTTTTCCTTACTAAAGTTACTGTATTTGTTTTCAATGTACTACTTAGCTTTAATTTGAGTGTGTTTTTCGTGTTGGAATGGATTATTTGGTTTTACATGTACAGTAATCATATGGGGAAAAAGGATTCACTTTACGACATTTTCATGATATGATCTCAGTTTAGGAACGGATTAATTTCGTATACTGAGGTACTACTGTATACTATAATTAAATGTGTGAGATAGGCTAAAAGAGTAAAAATGTATATTGACTAAATTGCAGAATGACAGTTCACATGTTATCCATAAAAATACTCTGATCTGACATTTTTATACCTCCCCTGGACATAAAGTCTTTCCCCTAGAATCTTAAGAAGCAGGGGAGATAGTTTTTCATTAGAAAACAGAAATAATCGTAACAGTCTTTATCATACATAATTAACAAAGAAATATGAGAATCTATGCACAAATAACAGTAAATATACAAATAAAATGAAGTCTTTAGGCGAATAATCACAAAATAAAACTTACCAGTGGAGAGATCACATTCACTCAATCACAACTGTACCCACAGAGTGACGTTACCTTAATGACTGACGAAATGGCTGTGCGGCTAGCTCATGTGACACTTACTGCTAATTTCACGTCCAATGAAATGTGTTCAAGGTCAAAACTTCCCACGATAAAGTAAACAAATGCCGTTTTTTAAGGAATACAAAAAGCCAGGGGATGAGATGCGAAATATGTAGGACAAATGTAGACATAAATATTTTTTATGAAAAAGAAATATTATGTAATTTTACTTGTTAGATTACAATAATTTACTTATTCTATTTTTTTAAAATGAACGATTTTGATATTTTATTAGATTTCTATGTATTTAAAATTACTGATACACTAACAGAATCGGTTAGGGGACAGACCAAGGGAGATATGTGTTTCATGTTTGAGATACTATTGTGACTAAATTAAGTACATTTAAGTAATGAATTTAAGTGACCATAAAGAAGATGGTGAATTTTGAGAGATAACATTATTTCAAACAAATTTTCAAATAAAATGTGATTTTTTATCGTGGACGTCGAAAGTACCTCTTAACTTAGAATGACTCAATTTATATATTTGGAAATAATTACGAATAATGCATACATCATTATTTTACAACTTTTGTCATACATATATA